CTATAATAATAATAATGGCATCCGTCAGTCCCGGGGGACTATGAAGATGTGCCGCTGGCTTTGGGTACAGCATCTGCTGTGACTGTAAAGTCCGATGCATGAATGGCAGCCTTGCCACACAGGATACACACAAAAGCAGATACTCCCTCGTTGTGAGGCAGTTTTACTCTCCGTTGTCTCCTCTCTATAGCTCGTTGTGTTCGGTTTCTTTCAAAATGTGACAGTCCGTCTTTCACTTTCTGTCTCCATAGTAGTCGATCTGCAGCTGATTTTTCCCATGTCTCTGTGCCTATGTTGGTATCTATCAGGTCACGTTTGCATACATCTTTATAGCGCAGCTTTGGCCTTCCTGTAGGTCTATTCCCAGTTACCAATTCACCATACAGGAGATCTTTTGGAATACGACCATCCTCCATGCAGGAGACATGTCCCAGCCAGCGCAGACGTCTTTGCTTCAGTATACAATACATTGATGGTATTTTTGCTCTTGTGAGCACACATTCGTTGGAGACAAGGTCTCGCTATAATATACCAAGGATGCGTCTCAGACAGCGCATATGGAAGGTCTTCAGTCTTTTTTCCTGTGGAGCATAGAGTCCAGGATTCGCAGCCGTACAGTAATGTGCTCAGGACACAAGACTCATAAACCTTCATATTTGTATTATCAGTTAGCTTTTTGTTTGACCAGACTCTCTTTGTGAGATTTGCAAACATAGCAGAGGCCTTTCCTATACGTTTGTTTAGTTCTGCATCCAGAGAATGATTGCCTGAGATACGTGAGCCTAGGTACTCAAACTCATTTACAGCCAGCAGCTGATGGTCATACACACTAATGTTTGGTGGATTTCCTACATTCAATCCCATCACTTGTGTTTTGTTCAGACTGATGGTAAGCCTAAATTCTTTGCAAGCATTTGCAAAGCGATTCATCAGGATCTGCAGATCATCCTCTGAATGTGCCACAATGGCTGCATCATCCGCAAACAGAAAATCACTGAGGCATCTCGTGTGCACCTTCGTCCTTGCACGTAGCCTGGACAGATTAAAAAGATTGCCATCTGACCTCGAACGGAGGTATATCCCCTCAGTTGCTGTCCCAAATGCACGCCTCAATAATGCGGTAAAAAAGATGCCAAACAGCGTGGGAGCCAGAACACATCCTTGCTTTACTCCATTTTGAATCTGGAAGGGTCGATATGATGAATCCTCATATATTATGGTCCCTTTCATATTCTCATGAAAGGATTTGATTAGGCTCAGTAGTATAGGTGGACATCCATATTTTTCAAGGATCCTGAATAGACCATCTCTGCTGACATAGTCAAAGGCCTTAGTGAGATCTATGAAAGCAATGAGCAGTGGCCTCTGTTGCTCTCTGCACTTCTCTTGTAGCTGCCTGATGGAGAAGATCATATCAACTGTTGATCTCTGGGCCCTAAACCCACACTGTGATTCCTGGTATACTCTGTCCGCTAGAATTTGCAACCTCTTTAGGATAACACGAGCAAAGACTTTTCCCACATAATTCAATATAGAGATACCGCGATAGTTGTTGCAGTCGCTTCTATCTCCTTTATTTTTATAGAGAGTTATAATGTTGGCATCTCTCATATCCTGTGGCACCGATTTTTCTTGCCAACACTGGCAGAGGATCTTGTGTAGCTCAGGAAGAATAGCATCCTTGGAGCATTTTAAGATCTCAGGTGGGATACCATCCTCTCCTGGGGCCTTCCCTGAAGGAAGCCCATCTACTGCCTCACCGATTTCTGTGACGGAGGGTTCCGTGTCTAGTTCACCCATGGTTGGCAGACACTCCATTGCATTTAAGGCCTCTTCACATACAAAGGTGCTTGTAGCATATAGCTCTGAGTAGTGCTCCACCCATCGGTCCAGCTGCTTTGTCCGATCCTTTATGATTTCGCCCGTGGTTGATTTGAGAGGGGCAATCTTTCTTTTTACTGGCCCAATAGCCTTCTTGATGCCAGCATACATTCCCCTTATGTTGCCAGTAGCTGCTGAGGTTTGTATCCTCTCACAAAGTTTGATCCAGTAATCATTAGCGCAGTGCCGTGCAGTTTTCTGGACTCTAGACCGAATGGACCTAAGCACTTGCAGATTTCTGATATTCGGCTGGATTTTATATCCCAATAAAGCCTTGTTCTTCTCCTCTATTATTGGCAACATTTCTTCCTTGTGTTCCTTGTGATAACCAGTGATAACTTGCCTCTTACCGAACACGGACATGGCAGAATCATATAGGTGGGCCGGGCAGAGCTGTGCTCAGGAAGAGTGATCTGTGTCACAATCTGCACTGTGATAGCTGCGAGAGACCTTAACAAGATGAAGGTGACTGCGTTTAGTGAGGATGATGTCAAGCTGGTGCCAGTGCTTAGATCTGGGATGTCTCCAAGAGACCTTGTGCTGGGGCTTCAGATCAAAGAAGGTATTTGTGATGCAGAGGTTGTGAAGACAGCAAAGCTCAAGCAGCCTCTGTCCATTTTCATTCATTTTTCCTACTCCAAAATGTCCCATTCAGGATGGCCATGAGCTGTGCTCAGCGCCCACTCTTGCATTAAAGCCACCCAAAATAAATTGGGCTTCCCTGTCCGGGACTTCGCTGAGTGTGGAACTGAGTTCCTCGTAAAATTTGTCCTTGGAGTCAGGAGAAGAGGGCAGGGTTGGTGCATAGGCACTTATCAGAGTGACTGGTCCAGCTCTTGTCTGGACCTGAATTTTAAGGATCCTTTCTGATCCTCCTGTAGGTGGTGTGGCAGTTCTGAGCAATCGGTTCCTAATCGCAAAGCCTACGCCTTGTTCCATGGACTCCGAAGATGGTTTTCCCTGCCAGAAGAATGTGAAGTCCTTATCTTTGATGCTACCTGAGGAGGAGAGCCGGGTTTCCTGAAGGGCAACAATGTCTACGTTCAAACGGGACAGTTCATTGTTAATGACTGCAGTTTTCCTTACATCGCTCATATGCTGCAGATCGTCCAGAATACCAGGTGTCATGGTCCTCACGTTCCATGTGCCCAGCTTTAGAGCTGGGAATCTGATTTTTTTGCTTCTTTGTGTAGGTACAAGGATTACAATCCGTATGTCGGGTTATTCCCTAAGCCCTGTGCACACAACAAGGCAAACGGATCGTGGCGGTACAACACCTTACTGACTGGGGGCTGCCCAGCTGAGGTGGGTGGTAGCTGTCCAATGAGACTACGATGGTCTCTCCCATCGTCGGAAACAACCCCTGGCGCCTAGCTCTACGCCAATTGAGCAAAGGCTTATAACCGGTGACTGCTGTTTCCCGTGTTGTGTCGAAACTGTTAAGCATCGCTGGAGTGACCTCTCCAGGGCACAGGCCAGGGCATTTTGATTTGGAGTACAGACTGTTGCCCAGGCAGCAAGTACCCCCTCTCTACGTCGCCGGTGATACCAAGGGAAAGGCAAAAACCAGTACAACTTGGCACCGAGGACGTTGCAGGAATTGCCGGAATAGCACTGTATACAATGCTAAACCGCCTTAGGGATTCCAGCTCCGGATTTTTCCTCAGGGTTTACTCCCGAAGCACTTTCCCAAAAATGGGTATGGCCACAAGTCTGTCTTGATATCCTATCAATATGTTATTTTATAAATTAGGGTTAGGAAAATAGAAACTGGCGTCCTTTGCACAAAGTGGCTTGCATTACTTGATAATCTCAGCAGCATATCATGGATTTGCTAAACAGGACATTCAGGTGTGCAAGGTAATGAGCAGGCTAATAGGTTAGCTGCTCCTCTGGGTAGTGACATACGTTCTGGTAAAGCAGACATAGTGAAGGCTCTCTAGGATCAAATGGACAGTGCAAAAGAACAGAATCATCCATGCACTGAAAAACTAACTCAATGTGGGTGAGTAGAGGTTCTGGAAGATATTCAACAATGAGGGGGAAATTCAGGTAGGACTTTTGATGTTGAATTAAGAATCAACATCACAGCACTCGCAACACTCAGATAAGCCCTCCATCCCCATCTTCAGCAGCAAGCAAAGAGTTCCAATTCCGATGGTACCAATAACTGTCTAACGGTAAATCCGTCCCGCCCTTCCCATAAGTGTTGAGCCTGGCCAGATCCCCTGGTTGCTCCCCGCAGCGCCATTCTCCTCAGACCGTAATGATCTATTTGTGCCTCAGTACTTCACTCAATCCCAAAGGGTCCTCACACCATCTAGCTTGTCAACATCAATTCACATTAAAGTGACGCATAACTGGCCAGTCTATCTACCAGCTCATTTTCCAACACATTAGCATAACCTGGAGAAAATATCCAAAGGACACTAACTATCCGAGGCCTCTGGAGTGATGCTTCCCACTCTGCATTGAGCCTGCCTGTCTACATTTTTCTCAACATGTTCTGTGAGTCAATTACAATCACAGCATGTGTATACAGCTGATTCTCAAGCTAACAGAAGACAGCATTCTCAAACTAGGCCTTGTGATATCATATGCCAGATTTTGTTGCATTAAGCAACATCCATTTGCTTTTGCTATGAACTCCCATGCACTTCATCTGTCTCTCAACACAGAGCCATCTGTATAGATAATCACATCACCTGGGCAGGAACTGTCATAAAACATTTGTCGAACTTGCGGTTCTGCAGCACCAGCTTGCCACCAGTTTGACTTTTAATCAGGTTGCATCTGGTACTACTAGCATGTTGATTCCTCGCTTGCTACTGAAGAGAGGGACGCAGCACATGGAGAATGTCTCAAGTATGTCAATTCTTGATTCATGCATTCTTTAATTTCATTCATAAATTAAGGTATGTTTTAAAGACTGGGTAGTAATTTAATTAAGGTTTCTGAATAAATCATAAATATAAAGATGTAAGATATTTAAAAAGCACAAAGCAGTAGATGTCAGTGAATGCTGCTAAAATATTGATGGTAGGATATTTATCAGAATCTAACTATTCAGTCAAAAACAATTCAGAAATTATTTAGTTTATAAAAACATTTTGTTTTACCCAAGTTTTCTCCTCCCCACACATCCATCTGAAGGTCATACTGGCCAACCTCATTGAACCAAGATTTATCTATGGAGAAGAGACCACCTGCTATCATTGGTGTTCTGGGGAATACAAGAAAAACATGTTCACAATAAATATAGTTTAACAAAGGTAAGTGATTTCTGGCTTCTTCTTTCAAGGCTGACTTGAAACACCCTGTTTACTGTACCACCAAATCTCATTTTACATCACATCCACGAAGATAAATCCGGTGCCTACAATTTTATACAAACAGATGTATTTTTTATTCTCATGTTGTTTGTATTACTGATGACATTTCACATATTTCTTGCTCACTAACTAAACTCTCTGGGCTCTGTTTTGTGGAACTGACAAGAAGGATGTGGTTTAAAAGGTCAAACCTTCAAGCAGAAGACTAGGAGGGAAATCTGTCAGAATATTGAAAATAAGTGACCTTCTTTAGTCCTGTTCTGCTTTTTAGCATCAAGTTTTGGAGAGGCATTGGATGTTAAGCCTTGCCATGTGCTACGTAGATGCTGGTATTTACAGCCTAATATGTTCCATCTATCCTTCGCTTGGTGAACCTCTAGGTCTGCTTCCATTATGTCTAAGTGACAGGGGTCTCTGTGTTACACTATCTTGTGGTAATCTCGACACATGTCCGAACCATTTGACATGCTGTCTCTTGATGTAATTTAGTAATGGTTCCATCCCAACTTCTTTCCTTATATTGTCACATCTGTCTCTTAAAGTTACATTTAGGATTTGACTTAGACATTTTACTTATGCTGTTTTGAGTTTTCTAGCATTGTTAATATCCACATCTGGCACTGGTAACATAATATTAGTTTTAAAAAAAAAATTCAAAACTGTGTTGACAAGTGCTCTTTTGGTGTCAACTGTTAGTCACTGGTTCTGCAAAGTTTGTGACATATGTCCAATGATTTAATTAGCTTTATTACATCTGTGTTCTTTCTCTGCTTCCATTTTTCCATTGGATGATGTTAACTCCCCAGATACTTCAAGTCTTTTGCCTGCCTGAGTTGTTGGTTTTCTATACATATCCTGACTGGCTGTTATATTTTTGCAGTGATCATAACTTCTGTTTAATTAACAATAATGTTCATGTTTTGTGCTTTTGCTGCTATGTTTAGATAATCCATATATCTCTGTAGCTCTTCATCTGTAGTTAACAGGGAAACTTGGTTGTCTGCAAAAAGGAATTCACTGTACTTATTGTTCTCGTTCATTTGGAATGCATTACTGATTTTATATATATATATATATATGTGATAAATAGCAATTGGGGGAAAGGGGGGGGGGGGGGGGGTGGGAGGCACATTCCTGACAGACTCCAGATTGTAAATATAACTTGTCTGTCTTTATGGAAATCGATCTCACTACATGTTGCGAGACGTCACTTCAAGTAGGCAAGATACCTTGACTCACGTACCAGCCCGTTTGACACTTTGTTTATTAACTCTTGGCTGCATCAAGAGTGATGTCTTTTTCATCAGAGATGACACTGAGGGCTATTCCGATTAAAGTCTACGGCTGCTGTTTAGGAATTTTCCATTGTGTCTGATTAAAATTTCCCTGCGCTTTCACATATAGAATTTAATGTATAAGAGAGCAATGGGAAGACAGGACAAAGGATGCTGGAGACTTATTACAGCCAATCTTTAATGTGGAGATGGCATTTGATTAATTTACGGAACCTCTGCTCTAATCTCCTGAAACAGTTTAGAAAAATATAAACACTCATAAAATGCTTCTGAATATAATTTTCAGTGACAGATAATATCTATTAGTTTTATAGGCATTGTTTCTCACATAAAAAAAATTTGTGTTAAATATTAAGACATAAATATCATGTAGTGCTCATTACTTGATTGGTGACACAGGTTTATGTCGTCTTCTATTTCTTTCTTCAGGGGTCATGTAATCCCACTTAAACACCAGGTTCCAGTCAAAACCTGCAACAATGGGAGAAACACTGCTGATTATTTACTGCACAGTTCACGTGCAAACTATTGCAGTGCAAACTATTGCATTCTGCCAAACAGCAATCTAACAGTTAAATAAGAATACAATACATCATTGGTAGCCAGTCCCACATCAATCATCATTAGATACTTCTTACTCCATGTGTAGGTTTTCAGGTCCCATTTTGTGAAAAAACAACTAACTCACAGACCCATAACAGAAAAAAAAAGAGAGTTTGTATCCTTTACAGGACGCTGCAAAACAAACCACAGCACTTTTTGGCTGTTGTGGTTTTTCTAGGCAAATTTTACATTCAGTAGTTTGCCACTACTTTCTGAATGGTCAGCTCTCCGTACCACTGTCAGACCCAATGCAAGGCAAACTGTCCACAGCTGGAATCTATCCCAGCACACCCGGCATTACGAAGCTCGTTCACAACACCTAAGCTACAGACGCCCACATAACAAGCATTGAGTCAAAAAGTGACTAATTGGGGGTTTGCAAAAATCACATGTGTTGGGCTGATAGGCACAGATATTACAGTCTAGCTGTAAACCACAAAACAATATCCAACCAACCTTTTAAGGGAGAGTGTAGAGCTAAAACACATCTCTTTGCGTTTTAGGTTAATATTACTTTTTTTTTGGGTAAGGCACAGGCCTCAATCAATGTTCACTTACTGAAATATATTTTCAATAAAGTCCAGCTGAAGTGGTACAGCAACTGAGGAATGATACATATTAATAAGTAAAATAAAGAAACAAATGATATACCATCTCATAGGTTCTTAACAAGAAGTCTCTTCCATCACAGTACAACTGAAAGAAACTTGGTCCCTCAGCAGCTCCTCTACCTCTTGCACTTTTCCTTTAGAGGTTGTCTCCTAGGTCTTGTGCCAACCTTTATGCTGGTCAGTCCCCTTCTCTCTTTCCCAGTACCATGGCTTCTGCGACTATTCTTTCCAAGCCACTGCAACATGTGATATGACCAAAGTACTTCATTTTCTGAGACAGGACAAGCCTATTTCCTTTGATGTTCAGATCTTCTAGAATGTCTATATTTCTTTTTGTTTTTGAAATTTCTTGGTCTAAGGTATGTTAAGAGTATTTGTGTAGCATCTCAACTCAAAAGCCTTGATTTTCTTCCTGAAAGACTGCAAGAATGAAACTGCACTCTTGTTCTACTCACCCCCTTTAAGATCAGCTGATGCTCCTATATAGTCAAAGTTGTCCATGCTGATTACATCTATGATGGGACTGACAACATTCTTTCTGTTCTGCGGACATACACACATAACTGTCTGTGTCAATTAGAAAGCAACTCTTCTGGACAGATTTAAACATACGTAATGATTTATGCAACAGTTTTCATTCCAGAAATGCCAATACAGCATGTTTCAATGCTTGACGCTATTTATTTTTTACATAACTCAATGATGTAGCTCAACTGTTTTGCTGACTGAATGCTAGTACTAGTGAATTAAAAATATTGTCTCTTAAAGCTCTTTTTCAGACAAGACACAATATTTAGGCAAGAGATGTCACGGATGGCAACCGCACAGACTTTGATAGACAGTTTTCATCTAGTTAAAGATTTAACACCACAACTTTCAGAACAAGCCCATTTTAGCTCCGCCTCCCTCCTCATCAGGCAGCAAAGAGTTTCCATACTGACTGTACCCGTTTTAATCTATTAATCTTGCCTGTTCCCTGAGTCTCCAGTGGCGCATAGAGCCTGCAGACACTCTCCGCCACATCATCCTCTCTAGGTACGGTTTTCAATATCTTCCTTTTTTTTTTAAATTTATTATCTTGCCAAACAGGAGAGAGATCACCAATGCCTTATGCAGTTCAGTACACTCCCAAGTAGGGCCAGTCCAGCCAACCTATCTGCCAGTATAGAAAGGGTTACACAAGTAAAATATATACCCTGGGAGAAAAAAAAAAGAGTAGATATAAAATGGCAATAATAAAAGCATTTATATGATCACCGCACTGGAAGTGAGTTTTGTGATGGCAGGCAGATAGGAAATCAAGAAAATGAAAGATTCTCATGGTGAGACAGGATGAAGTAGTGCACACTGGTGGATCAGTGGTGCGTGGCCAATAATCAGAATTGGATTTCTCAGCTAGTGTGAGAGGTGGAGTAGTTGAAGCATAGAAGTGAACATATGAATTAATAATCTAAATATGAATGGAGATTGAGGCTGCCACTCCACAACTATAGTTCATTAAACAACTGATAAACAAACTTGCAAGCCATAGATGCTCAGGATGCTGAATATCAGCCAATTCCTTTGATCTTTTTGAACCACTGTAAAAAAGTAGAGTGAACTTTAGATTTTACAGTAAGCATCTGAATTTTCTATTCTTTATTTTTTCAGAGGTGTGTCTTCATAATACACTGATCAGTGAAGTAAATTTATTTGTTGTCAATTATGTTCAACTAAGTTGAGCTGAGACAAGAAAGACATCACAGCATTTGGGGCAATCCCATTTGCGCTCAGTCCCCATCTTCAGCAGCCAGCGCAGAGTTCCAGTACTAATGGTACCAGACGCAGTTTTATTATATGTCCAGGTTGCCTTTCCTCTGAGTGAAATGTGCCGACCAGGCCCTCTGATAACACACAGGTGTATGATTCTCGCCATGATAATCTATTTTCTTTTCTAACTTCGTTACTTGTTTCCAAAGGGCCTTGACCACATCTGCTTTGTCATGTATCAAATCACCACCCAGTGGTACAGATCCAGCCAATCTATCTGCCTTGTTCAATTGTAAACAGGTCCCCAATATTTTAGTTAGTATTCCCCTTTAGTCAAGTGTAAACCCCATGGTGTATCTTAATTGCACAGAAAATTGTATTATAGTTGACACATTTAGAATTTTACATGTACCTAATGGGTTGATCATATTCAACCACTCATCAAAAACCAAAAAAAGAAAGGTTTTAATCATTCCGAAACTGACAATCCCAAAAAGTTGATAATTGTTACCGGCTAAACAAATTGTAATCTATCTCGGCGCCACTACTCATCTTCCTCTTGGAGCACATGTTCAACACACTTTTTCATTACTTCCTGAAACTAATGAAAGTAAACCTTCCTAACATCTACCAAGACGGTTTCATGATAAAAATATATATCATGAAGAAAAAACTATATATGATATTCTTTTTAGTGAAAAAATATTTCCTTAACGTCTTGGATATTCTAAGGCTGCATGCAAAAATGCATTGCGATCTAACAGAGAGTTTTTGAGAAAATGGCTTGCATGTGTGTTTATCAATTGTTGAACGAACTATAAATGGTTCTCCAATACTACTAAAAAGATGCTTACTGTTTCTGATGTCAGGTTTCATCAGAAAGTTCAAAATAAATGGGTGCGTTATGATTGTCACTTATGGAGGCCTAAAACTTTCAAGGACTTATGTTAATCTTTTACCCAGGTTATGCTGGTGTGTATGTGGAAGTAGAGCCAACATGCTAGGTTCAAAAGAAAATATTATTAAGAAAAAAAAATTAAAAGAGGAAATATATTATGTGCAATAAATGACAGGTGCTTTTTTTATGAATCTTTATTAAATTTTAGTAGGAATTAAACAGTGAGTGTAGTTCAGGATAGTATTACTTTCAGCTAACCTGTTCATATTAGGGACAATCAGCATTTACACCCTTCAATGTCTGCTGGGAGAGAACAAATACTTAACCACCTGTGCCAAGTGCAGCACTGTTTATTCATTGTAAAAATATTACACATAACTATCCTTGTGCTCAGATGCAGACATAAATATTGTATTGTGTGTCCAGAAAAAGGAAAGTAAAAATAGAAAGCAGGCTGAACTAGCTGACAATATTATATAAGTGAATACATTCTGAGATAGAAGATACTGAGATGGAAGACACTGAATGCAGAAACACTGAGTGTCATTATGTAACTAATAAACAACAAATACACAATAAACTAACCTCAGCAACTCTTTCAAGTAAGGGTTCGAGCCAGTTCTCATTACACTCACAGTGACTGTCCAGAAAAGTTAGAACTTTGCCCTTGGCTGCTTCAGCTCCTTTCACCCTAGACCTAATAAGACCTGACAAAGAAATGCAACATTCCTAGCAACGATGGCAATACTTCCATTGTCCAATATTTTAGAGACTCAATAAAATAAAACCTCATTAACCAAATTCTAAGGGACAAAAAAATCAGGTTCGTGCTGAACAAATGTGTACTGATTGGGTACTAATAATAATGATACACATCTGCTAGGACAAAAATTGTGTCCATGTCAACCAAGTGTTCTTCTTAAGTGAGTTCATGTTAACAGGGTTTTACTCTATATATTTAATATGCCTGAACCTGACTGACTGGACAGGCCTCAGGCATGCAACCATGAAGTCCATTACAACTGACCGGCAAAGGTGGTGAGAGCTGATCAGTCAACAGAAACTGTTGACCCAACAACACAGTGTTATGGGATAATGATGATGATGATAAAATATGCAACATTCACTGCCTGGTTACATTGTGAAGATGACCAGAAAGTGATTGATTAATGTCTAATTAAGCATACTGACTTTGTTGACCCTCCTCTGCCCTAGGCAGTAGATGTTTACTAGAGAGATCACCAGAATTCTCTACGTGAAGTTTCTTTTTGTCTTTGTTCCACACCAGTCCTCTGTCAGAAACTCTTCGATGTTTTCTTCCCAGCAACCCTGAGCCATTCTAGCAGTCTGGTTCCCTTGTTCTTGGCTTCCTCTGGTTGCAAATTCTCTCATATTCTCAAAACCACTGTAACTGATCCATTCAAAAATGAACATTTTTTTTTTTAAAGACCATGAGGAACTAACTGTCTGGTTGCAAATTTTTTCATTCTTATCACTTGAACCACTTTCTCAGATTCCTCTTTTCTGGGGCCTGAAGCTGGTTTCTGTGAGCTGTTGTCATTGCCCATGACTCACACCTGTAGGTCAGGAATGTGACACAGGTAGAGCGGTACACAGACATTTTCATCCTTTTGCCAATTTCTGTTTTCTGATTAAACATATGTACAGTATTCTGTCTGTAATCTGTAACTGATGCCATTGTTAAGGCATCCAAATCTAAGTATGCCCACCAAGAAATAGATTATAACACTCATACCAACACTGTGCTACCCTACCAGAGCCAATCTTGGACATTATCAAAGGCTACCCTACATATAATTACCAACAATGTGCTACAAGAGCCAAACCTGGACATTATCAAAGGCTACCCTACATATAATTACCAACAATGTGCTACAAGAGCCAAACCTGGACATTATCAAAGGCTACGATACATATAATTACCAACAATGTGCTACAAGAGCCAAACCTGGACATTATCAAAGGCTACCCTACATATAATTACCAACACTGTAATATCAGAGCCAAACCTGGACATTATCAAAGGCTATCCTACATATAATTACCAACACTGTAATATCAGAGCCAAACCTGGACATTATCAAAGGCTACCCTACAAATAATTACCAACACTGTAATATCAGAGCCAAACCTGGACATTATCAAAGGCTACCCTACATATAATTACCAACAATGTGCTACAAGAGCCAAACCTGGACATTATCAAAGGCTACCCTACATTAACACGCATGAAAGGAGATGCCGGAGGAAAGCTGCCAACTTAAACGTCAAAGACTGAATGAGAAATGATACTGTCAGAACGATATCTTGAGGCAAATTCAGTGAGAAGCAGAAGATCAAATGATTTGGCCATGTCATTAGATTGCAGCAACAACAACTACCAACACAGGCGTACACCTAAAAAAAAAAAAATTTTTTTTAATTAAAAAGATACAGGTTATGTTAGTTGCGCATCCTTTACAGGACGTTACAGAACCAACCCCAGCAGCCCCTGGCTGTTGTGTTGTTTTTCTAGGCAAATTTACGTCCAGTAGTTTGCCATTTCTTCCTGGACAGTCGGCTTTCTTGATACCACTGTCAAAACCAACGCAAGGCATATGGCCCGCAGCTGGGATCGAACCCGACATCCCGGCATTACGAAGCGTTCGCATCGACTTAGCCACAGAGCCAACTAAAAAAGATACAACTAAAATAAAATGTAAAAAAAAAAATAATCAAAAGATCTTATGTGACAGCAAGAGGGTACCCAATGAGAACACGGATTGATGACACTGCAGACATTCTTTATCTAGATGCAATGGCAATATCCAGTGTTACATACAGAGAGCTAAACCACAAACTCTTCTTCTCGAAGTACCTAATTGGGGGGGGGGGGGGGGGGGGGGGGGGGTGTGTGGAACAAACCTGAAAGATGATGATGACTGTAATCTTTTGAGTTGCCATTTTCTGATGAAATGAGCTATTTTAATGACGAGAACTGTGTGATATTTATACAGTAAAAATTACACCCCCCCCCCTCCCCCCATAGGTCACTTATTTCATCTATGCTTCTAATATTCATTTGTGACAGACATATTTGTCATAAAAGAATAACAAAAAAGTCAATCTGTGATGAGATTTAGCAACATTTAAAACTAAAATTATAGTAAAAATAAAAAATAAAAACAGTACTATTACCTTGACGTTTATCATTTCTCAGAACGATCACTTTCTTTATGACTTCCAGTTCTGTCCCATCAGTAGCTAAACAAGCATAAATCAAATATAAAACACTAGAGCAAAGACAACAACAAAATGTTGAGTCACTGGCAACATTAACTACTTTATATTGGTAGTTGCTGACTGTTAACAAATGTCAATGCACTTACATTTGTTGTTTCACAGGCATATCTGACTTTAGCGTTTGCCTTGACTTCTCATTTGTATTAGATCAACTGCTGATAGCTATTAAGTGTGTTTGACTTCAAACAAATTATCACTTGTTTTTCAATGTGATTTTATTTTTCTAATGACTTCCTCCATTTGAAAGATATGGAGGTAGATGATTGACATAACAAAGGATATGAACATATGGCATGAGTTGGTTGAGGGCCTAGACTCCATTAGGGGATAATGACAGCAGAAGAAGAAGAAGGATATAAGTTCTTTTATATGACTTGACTCCATTAGGGGATAATGACAGCAGAAGAAGAAGAAAGATATAAGTTCTTTTATATGACTTTAACATTATAGTGCACACATATGCATGCATATAAACAACTCTAAATAAGTGAAATCCTAAAAAATGTTTCTTTTAACTCACATTCTGGTTTCCTGAAAAAAAATTTTTTGTGTGTGTGTAAAAGGCAACGTCAAATAAATATAAAAGATTAAAATGTTTTTGTTTTTTTTTAATAAAGTCTCTGCCATTTACTAGGACAAGAAAAAAATCACATTAACAGTTAAAAAGTTAAAATAAATTTCCTCAATGTGAATTAGTATCTGAATCTATTAGCAATTCCCTTAGAATTAGTCCAGTTTCTCCTTCTGTATTTATGATCAATTTGATACATCAGTAAAAATGGAAACAGCAAAGAGCTGTATCGTAACCGTGCAGTCGCTAAATGACATGGCATTTATGTCTCCCTGCAGATCTGGGTTCTTATGTTCTGGATCAATTCTACTGATAATATTCCTCCATTCTACTGTATCAGACAACCCAGTATCATACTCCTGGTCAGTTCTTCTAAAACTGATCTTTCCTGTCATAATGTTTCCCAAAATCTGTTTCTCATTATATGAGAAAAGAACACTGTTTTGTTCTTTTTTGTTGTAACTCTGATATTAAATGACAATGACTTATTAAAGATGTCATCTTTCAACTTCCTGAAGAACAGCTTTATTGCTATGGCTTATCCGGTTCTTGATCTTTGTTACACATCTTTAACTGTGACATTATTTTTGCCCCTAAATGTGTTAACTGAATGACTTGGTAAAGCTCTTTCCAATCTTCAGAAATATCAATTCTTGATGTTATCTTTTTCTTTAATATAACACTTGTCTGTTTTCTTGATATACAACTGCAGTCCTTAAAGAACTTATTATTACTACAGTGCATAACATTTTAGATCTGTCATTTCCAGGTATCAATAATTCGTTATATGCATAATACATTGTTGGGGTGTACAGACCTAGAAAGTTTAAAAAAAAAAAAGTAATATAAGAAGAAAAGGCAAGGTATATTTTAAGGCTGTGAGCAATGCATGTTGTATCTGAAACCAGCTAGTTTGAGCAAGTCTTTGTCTGGAAAAAACAGATGTTAATCTATTTCACTTGTCCAGCAAGTAAATAGCTGCTGTCTCTTATGTGGATGCGATGAACCAAAGTTAACGGAAAACAGTTTGTGGTCTATTCATCAAAATGAAAATTTCTGGACAAAAGACTATCTCACTGAGGATACTGAGTATCACCAGTAATGATATAAATGTTGTGTTATTAAAACTATCATACAACAAAGGGGAATCAAGCACATTTACAGAAGTACACTCCAAGTATATAATATAATATTCAGCTCATGTTCGTGAGGCATCTTCGAGCTCTCATCTTACTTTACAGAGAGAATAGATATGTTGACATACTCTAATTCTTATTCAATTCATAATTGCCTCCTTTATTTCTTATTTTTAACTACTGTTATGTGTTTCTAGAAGATACATTTTTGTATTATCCTGAAATCTGTTCCATCATTTTTAATATCCATTTTCATCGTCATGTTTCATTTATTAAATACTTTCGCCCGGCTCGCTAGCGCAATTGGCTAAACCGGACGGCATGGCAATCAGGTAATGAACTCATTGTGGTCTGGGTTCACGCTGGGGGATAGGGAGAAAAGACACAGTCCTCCCAGATTTACTGCATACATGGAATCAAGGCCTATATTTTTCAGACCAATCAGCAGTTGGTGGGTGATGTGGTCAGTATCCGGCCAGCTACCTTAATTTCCCAGACTCCACCTGGTACCTATTCAAGGCTGGATTGACCTGGGAGCCATGGTCATTTTTTTCAAACAGTCCGGTACGGTCATAAATGTATAAACTTTTTATTAACAGCTATTATTTTCTTCATTTTCACATTATAACTTTTAGCATATCATGAAGTGTGTGTCCACTATTTTAATTATCCTTCAAGTTAATATTTATATTCTGAAATATTTCAGTACTAATAACTTCTCTTTTGTGATTTCAGTGGTCCGAGCTGTTTTTTTTTTTTTATCTTTTCTTCAGGTGTTTGACAATATCAGTCAATTCTTCTTTAGTACAGGTGGACCTAAGTTTTTTTTTTTTCTCTTGTTAATTTTGTTCTTTCTTCTGTTAATTCTGTTCTTTCTCCTCAAGCTCCAACTCTCTTATGAATTCATTCTATGTTCAGTTTAACCAATATTCTATTTCCATCATTTCTTCATAAAAAGTGACAGCTACAGGAACTGGACAAAGGAGACATAAGAAGACCATTTATGAATGACTGCCGAAAGAAAAGATGAGGTTAGATGAAATAACGTGTGGTGTAAGAATGGGTGAACAAGGAATTAGGTGTGTGTCAACGACCTTCTTCTATACTACATCTGGCTCACGTTGCAGGCAGTTAAACAGACAAATCTATCCTTAAAACAAACCAAACCGAACACCTGTGGTCGTGCTAGCTTTACAAATCACCGGTCACGCCTTCCCATTTCCACTGATAAGCACTGGGCGCAAACCCACATCACTCTCGTACACCCAAAGTTGCTGTCCCCGACACGAGGATTCTGAGGCATGACAGAGTGAATGGCAAAATGTGTGTGGGCAGATGTTAACGCCACAACCAATGCATTACAACCTTAAAAAAAAAAGCTTTAACCAAAATTTACGTGAACAATTCTAACCCTTATAATAATGCTACGAGACTGAATAACTTCCTCAAAAACCGTACAAAACAAATTACAGCTACAGTCTGGCTAAAACACACTCTTAACAGTCACTACACTGGTCAATAACATGCTACGCTCTTACAGTCTCCTATACTATGTCACTGTCGCGAAGTTCTGCAAACTTCTGCCCCAATCTATCTCTAAGCAAAGCTTTTGTCTCTCTTTCCTGTTCACCCTGACTTCGGGCTGCCCCTGAATTAGGCCAAATGTACAGCTCAATCGCCACGACTTATCCTGTGATCGGTCTTTCATGGTCTCACTTTGAGTTCATGTCTGGGTCACCTCGTACAGTAACGAAGATTCATCATCATCATATTTTCTCATCCCTTGGATAAAATGGCTTCTGACAGTGTGGATCAGACAAGAAGGGATGGATGAGAGAAAGAGAACACTGAGGTTATAAACAGTGTACTATGTGAACAGTTAATATCTACACCTGAAGACATTTGTTGCAGGAGACGGAGCACCTATGGGTTTGCCTGGTGCGCTATGATGTTTATTTTTAAATGAGTATATCATTTCTTTACGTGTGTTAATATTATTATATTCCTCTCTGTTATTTTGATTTTTGTTTCCTTTTTTCTACTGGCGTCTGTGGCTTAGGCACTGTAATTCCAAGGTACCTGATTTTATTCCAGCTGTGGGTACTTTGCCAGCAGACCCTCTTGTATTGATTCTGGCAATGGTATCAAGAGCCCACTTTCAGAAAGCATTGGCAAAACTACTGAAGGTAAAACTGCCTACTAAACCAAAACAACCAACAAATGCTGGGGCTGATTCCGCAACATCCTGTAGAGGATACAAATTTCCTTCTGTCTGACTATTAAGATCTCTTCAGTTACCCATATCTTCCTAATTTCTTTCCTTTCCAGTAATTTCTTGTTGACTGATGGATGGAGTAATTCAGCATTTCTCATAATTCATTAATACTTTATATTATAGACATTACATATCTGTTGCTCACAATTCCTTTTTCGTCTTGAAATAATACATTTAATGTTAGAAAATCCTACTGCTTTTTGCTGATGCCTATTCTTGTATAATATCCATATGTACTTTTATGCCTTTCACTTAAACCAAACAGCTTAGACAAAATAAAGTATATATAACAAACACTACAAAACAAAAATACACCAAAAAATACAACAACAAAAATTACAAAACGGTATGAATAGTTATCTAAGTTTTCGTTTTTTGTGTGTGTGGTACAAAATGCATGTGCATGATCAGTTTCATTCATAAGACATTTGTAGAAAACAGAAAATACATAAAAGATGCCATAATTACCAAATTTTTCTTTGTCCCAAAAACTGCATGTTTATTTGCAAAAGCATGCAATATTTGTTCCTCTCATTGGACACATTTATCTTTAGCATACTGAATTATGGGACCATTTTTGCCTTCCATATTCAACTGTTACTCCCCCCCCCCCCTTCCCCACTCCTAAAACAATTTTCAAGCCAACAGCAGAGATAAAGTAGTCTTTGTTATTTCTGATGTGCCAGTCCTGAGTGCAGCTGCCAAGTTGTTAAAAATGTTCATCTCTTCTGCTATGTCTTTGGCCCTGAGAAAACAATTAAAGCACCTGACTACAGTCACAATTTGACACAACAATCAAAATTAATTACAAACAGCTCAACTTACGGTCATCACTGAAGTCATCAACGAGGATGATTTCTCGTATCAAATGTGCAGGACTCTTTCGGAAGACACTGTGGATGATATTTTTAGGAAAAAATGAACAATCATGAACTTTTTTGATAGCATTATTGTGTGTGTGTGCGCGCGCGCGTGTGCGCGCGTGTGCGCACGCATGTGTATATATACACACATGCATTTGAGAGAGAGGGAGAAAAAGTGAGTGAGTTATGAGGTGGGTCATCTTCTCAGCATTCTATATAGATTGATAGGTGCACAGATTCCTCCTCCAAAATATACATCAGCGTGCCACTGCCTGTCTTATGCTGGCTGACAAGACTTCTGACACGTCCCCTGTTCCATTCATGCCTGGCTGCGCTGATCTTTACTCCCAACTCTTGTATTCTGAGCAGTGATGTGGATGCTCTGCACCCAAAAATCCTCTGATCATCTTTCTTGAGATCATCCTCTGTCCTTTGCAGCCTTGAATCCCCCCCCCCCCCCCCTCTTATTTTTTTAACCTCCTGCCCTTTCAGCTGAAGAGCATGTGGTGTGAACAGTGCTTCATATGTGAGCTTATCTTCAAGTCTGTGCGAGCCCTCCAATCCTGATCCTGTGGTGCATGGTTGGAAAGTCAAGAGGGTATCTCACTGCTACATAAGAGGTGCCTTTTCTATATCCAAGGGAAAAAAAAAAGTAAGGAGGGGTTGTAATCATAGATTCAATGGTGCGCAGGTTTCAACTCTTCAGCTCAATGTCATTTAGTGATAAGTGTCTTGTTTTTCATGAGGTAAGAGGGTAAGGTGTGGGGAAAGGAGGTGGGGGCGGGTTAAGGAAGTTGTAGACAGACAGGGAAAGAGAAAGAGACAGAAAGGAGGGAGGTAGAACAAACAAAATGAGAAGAAAAATGCTTTACAAAATAAAAGTGCTAAACGATAATACAAAAGTAAAAACTGTTATTTAGCAAAGGTTTAAATGTCAACGTATAAGCATGAAGCTTGCTATTACACCATGTCCAATTCATGAAATTGTCTAAATGTAAAAATGGTTAGATTTTTATTAGGCTACTATGTCCTAATTATTACTTTAATCTTTTATGTTTCTAGTTCAGCCATTATATTAAGTAAAGGACACTTATCCAATCTTTCAGATATACTGGGCATATAGTGTTAGGTTTATATTATATATATGTAATATATCCAATATATAATATGTGTAATATATCCACCACTCTGTGGGTAATGCCATCAATATCATGGTGACCTCCGTTACTTTCCAGTATTTTACCTGGTACCAATTTAAGGCTATGTCAACCTTGGAGCCTTTTTATTTTAACCCACAACCTTTGGATCTGCAGACGAGTCTGGCTACTATTTTTCAGAATATCTACTGTACAAGTAATGGCTGTCTGGTACAGAAATTGTTAAGCTATCTGTCAATTATGAAACAGCCAATGTAGTTGAAAGGGATAGTACCACAGTCTTTATAGTATTTGTAACAACGCTGATGCTGTCAAAAGGCTTCTAGAAGCTGAAGACTGAAATTCGAATGTTTTGAAGCAGCTACATCACAGAGTAAAAGATAAGATTTTTATTGTATCTTCTAAAAATAAAACCCTCTACCTTATCGGAGTTTGGAACCCAAGTCTACAGGATGAAAACTGTTGGTATCCTACTCTCCTGGTCATACATTTTGCATAGTCTTTATATTGTCAAATGATTTTATTGATATGCCATCTCATCATGTGGATACCAGTACAAAACTAACAATGACCATTTGATAAAAAGGAGAAAAAGTGCTTTTATTGCTCTGTTATCTTCACTTAACACCAAATCAGCCAGCAACTAGAGCATACTACATAAGAACAGCAAGTTACAAGGCAAAAGGTCGACCCGAAAAAAAAAGATGGGTGGAGGGGGTACAAGAGACATTACAGAAACACAATATGACAATAACACAAGCTACGCAACTAGCAAAAGACAGGAAACTACATATAACTCCTCTGAGATGTTTTAAAAGAAAAAAGAAGAAGACCTGGACCAATTTCTGGAAGTCATGCACAATGATATTAATGCTGCATGTTTTTTGTATATGACAAATCACAATAGTGTACAAAATATTATATCACAAATAACGATGAACAAACACAGAAATTACGGAAATTGGGGGGGGGGGGGGGGGGGGGGTGAAATATGCAACCCAAGATTAAATCATGATGTTCAGAACAAAACAAAAAAAAAAAAGAAAAAAAAGAAGGGACTAATACAGTCAAAATATTAGGGAGGTTAAAACATTATAAATGACTAAGTCGTCTACAAAACCAACAAAAATAATTCAGACAGACAGACAGCCAGTGTGCGAGTGTGGGGTGTATGTGTGCGCGTACGTGTGTGTGCACGCGTGCATGCATGTTTTTATTTTTTTAATATTTGGTAGTTTTCAGAGAGAAGAAAAACAATGTCACCATCTGAAACAATAAATGATGATGATAAATGGGTTAGCCATTCAAAGCAACTCATTCAGATTCATTCTCTGTATAGAAGAAATAATTTTTTTAAATCACACTAACAGTAGTTGATGAGAGAGGGCAAAAGTGCAGGACATTACTCCATCTATGATATTGAATTTATTGCACAAGATAGAACAGAGCGGACGCAGAGACTGTGAGTCCTATGTCACATATAATGGCACAAAAAGATGATGATGAACAGAGTATGTCAGCATTAAAACAGCCTCCACCATACTTACCTGACTATAGTTCTGAACAATGCTGACCTGGCTTCATTGTGAAATGTGATAATTACTGATGTGTCTGGAAGGTCTGAACTCCAAGACCTTGTCCTACAACTGTGTTCACAGAAATACACAGTGAAATCAAATGACACGCAAAAACATGAAACAGTTCTTTCACTGGTGAACAGAATCAATAACTCAGAAATTATCTTCAAAATTTACTTATCAACTTGAAGATCATCATCATCATCATCATCATACCATAACACAGTGTGTCAATGGGTCACCAGTTGCTGTTGACTGTCTTATCAGCTACCTTCACCTCTGAGGGTCAGATGCAATGAACTTCATGGTTGCATGCCAAATGCATGTCCAGTCAGTCAGGTTTTGTATCCAGGTCTTTCTTGGTCAGCCTCTTCTCCTCTATTTTCTTGTCATACCATTGCATTTTCTGCCTTTTCACTGTAGTTAAAAGAGATCATCGTTGCCAGTGCTGGGTAATTAAACGGCAAATCTCATCATTTGCACAAAAAAGATGTAATTTGCATAGAAGACTTATACTGTGTAGTTTTATTATCACTTTAACAACATTTTTTAAGAAACAGAATAGGACAGGCAAAAACTGCATTTTATAAAATGAAGAACATCTTATGCAATATATCTTTGTCATTGAGGGTAAGGAAAATAATTCTTGCTTGCTACATTCTTCTTTCTTCTTCTGCCTTTCTATCCCCCAATGGAGCATAGGCCCTCAACCAACTCACGCCAAGTCGTTCTATCCTTCGCCATTGCATGGAGCTCTCCCCATGTCCTCCCAATCTTTCTAACCTCATTCTCCAGCTCTCTTCTCCATGTGTTTTTTGGCCTTCCTTTATTCCTATGCCCTTGTCGGTTCCAATGCAAAGACATTCTAGTTATGCTGTTCTCCTGTTTTCTCAGTGTGTGCCCTATCCAACGCCAGCGTCTTTTCCTCACTTCCTGTTCCACTGGAGCTTGTTTACTTCTCTCCCAAAGTTCTACATTAGTTATTCTATCATACCATTTTATTCCCTCTATTCTGCGCAGGCACCAGTTAATGAATGTCTGTAATTTATTAGTAATTGCCTTGGTTGTTCTCAATGTTTCCGCCCCATACAATAGTACTGATTTGACATTAGAATTAAAAATTTTTAGTTTAGTATTTCTTTTAATTTCTTTTGACCTCCACAAATTCCCTAGTGCTATGAAAGCCCCTCTTGCTTTTTGTATTCTTATTTTAATATCTCTATCAGTTCCTTCATCTTTATCTAAATTACTGCCTAAATAGGTGTACGACTCCACGTCTTGGAGTGGGGTGCCATTAAGAGAAACCTCATTACTATTTGCCTGATTTATTCTCATTATCTTTGTCTTTAGCTGTTTTTTTCCACTGTGGTGTTAGCAGTTCCATATAGTCTTAGCCCCCATCACATTTCCAGAGAGATTCCCTATCTATGCTGTCAAATGCTTTTTCATAGTCTATAAATCCAATGTAAAGTGGTGAGTTCAGTTCAATGCTTTGCTCTATTATAATACGTAATGTGGCTATCTGATCAGTACAGGATCTGTTTGACCCAAAACCTGCCTGCTCATCTCTTAGCATTTTATCAATAGCATCTTTTAATCTTTCCAAAACAATTCTACCTAATATTTTTCCAGGAACTGACAGCAACATAATTCCTCTATAGTTTTCACACTCCTGTAGATCACCTTTTTTGGGCAGTTTCACAAGATATCCTTCTCTCCAGTCTACTGGTATTTCTTCGGTCTCCCAGACTTTACTGAATAATCTATGTAGCAATTCTGTTGATGTGTTTATGTTGGTCCTGATGGCTTCAGCTGGGATACCATCTGGGCCTGTCGCCTTTCCTTCCTTGAGAAGATTTATAGCTTTTCTAATTTATATCCAGTTCCATTTCTAAAGGCTGGATATCTGGGGGAACCTCTGGGCCTGGTTTATTTAGAAGCATTTCAAAATATTCAACCCATCTGTTCATTTGATCTTTAGTGTTAGTAAGTACCTTTCCTTGACTATTTTTGATTGATCCAGTTGGCTGACTATATTTACCTACTAATTTTCTTGTGTTACTGTAAAGTTCTCTGAGGTTTCCTTTTGCTGCTGCTGTCTCTGCTTCTTGTGCTAGATCATTTAGATATTTCACTTTATCTGCCCTTATATGCCTCCTAACTTCCTTGTTGGCTTCTGTGTATTTCTACTGAGCTATAGCTTTAGCAGCTCTAGTTTTGCTATTGTTTAATTCTGCCTTTTTACTTTTCCTATCTTCAATCAGTTTAATGGTTTCTGGTGTTATCCATGCTTTATGTTTGCTTTCTTTCTTGCCAAAAACTTCTAAGCAAGATTCATTCCAGATTCCTTTGATCTGATCCCAGCAGACTTCTGTGTTGACATCTTCAGCTAACTGCTGCAACACCTGGTACTTATTAGAGACCGTAACTGAGAACTGTTCCTTAATTTCTTTATCTCTGAGAAAGCCTACATTATATTGGTTTCTATGATTATAAGATGTTATATATCTTTTTAGTTTCAACTTGATTTTACTTACCACCAGGAAATGGTCAGTAAATACATCGGCACCTCTGAAAGCCCTAACATCGTAAAGGGATGATCTAAACTTTTTGTTAATACATATGTGGTCAATTTGATTAGTTGTCTTATGGTCTGGTGATTCCCATGTTGCCTTGTGAATACTTTTATGGGGAAAAATACTTCCACCAATAACATACTGGTTACCTGCACAAAAATTTGTGAACAATTCTCCATTTTTATTCACTACTCCTAGACCATGTCTCCCCATAATTTCTTCATAACCTGTGTTGTCTGATCCTATCTTAGCATTCAAGTCACCCATCAAAATTTTTAAGTTGCCCTTTCTTTCATTATTTATAATATTTTGAAGCTGCATGTAAAATTCTTCCTCAACAGATGCATCTTTATCATTTGTTGGTGCATAACACTGTATTACCGACATGTTCACCTTCTGTTTTACTGTTCTAAAAGATGCTCTTATTATTCTGGGACTCACAGCTTCCCATTCTTTTAGTGCCCTGTCTGCTTCTTTTGATAGCATCAGGGCCACTCCTTCACTGTGCGGCGAATTTTCCTCTGTGTGTCCTGAGAACAAAATAGTTTCTCCTGAATTTAGAATACTTTTCCCTGCCCCAGTCCATCTAGTTTCACATAACCTTAAAATACTAATTCTATAATGTTTCATTTCCTTTGCTACTTCCATTGTTCTCCCTATATCAAAGAGAGTTCTAACATTCCAGGTGCCAATTCTGGAGGTTTTCCTAGCTGAGAGGAGGTACGTCAACGATCCGGACTCCTTACGGCTTTCTCCACACTGTGTTATACTTCTTCTATTTGAAGAGCCTCCCCTCATCTTGGTTGGCTGGATTTTATTTGCTTCTCTTTTTGACTTATCTATGGTTGGTTGGTTTTTGTGGCTATGGTTTTTACAGGATGAGGTAGCCAACCTCAAGCCCAACCCTACCCTTACGACATGCCTGGTACGGTGCAGTGTCACTATTCTTTGCTTCCCGTGAGGGTCCCGGTGACACACGGGCGGCTTGCTACATACATCAAGTTTTAACGTATAGCTGTGAGTCCTGGACAACCGGTAGGCAGGCAAAACAATTTCTTTAGGCCTCAGAGATGTGGTTTTACAGAAGAGTGGTGTTTCAGAAGAATGCTTAAAATATATATATATATTTTTAAAAAAACACACACACATATATATATGCTAATTGTTTAACCACAGACTCATGTTTACCACATGTTGATGTTAAAGTTAACTCATGCTTACCACATGTTGATGTTAAAGTTAACTCATGCTTACCACATTTTGATGTTAAAGTTAATCAGGCTGCTTCAGTCATCATCATTATGTAGCAGGTCCTCTGCAGAAAGTCGCTATCATCATATTCTGCCTCAAAGAAACTTGGTCTCACACCAGCTCTCCTGCCTCATGCACTTTCATACTCAAGGAGTTACTTTTATATTCTGTAGCCATCTTCATGTTTGTTGGATCCTGCCCCTTCTCATGCCTTCTATTATTATTTTGTCCAGTCCGCATGGTGCTTGATATTACCAAAATATTTCAGCTTACGAGACAAGATGCTATTTATGAGGCAAACTTCCTTGATGTTCAACTCTTTTAAAATGTCAATATTTCTTATCTTCTTTGTCCATGGCATTTTGAGAATCTATAATATTTCGTCTCAAAAGCACATATTTCCTTCCTTAATGACTGGCAGTCCACGAAACACACCCGTATGTTGCGACAGGGAAGATGCATGCTCTCCAAATTTCAACTCTGACTTCCTTGCTGGTGCTAAATCATAGATTTGTAATGCTGTTTAATGTTTGTATTGCTATGGATATCCTCCTTTTGACTTCTGTCAAACAGTCTCAATTGCTATTTATTATTCTCAGGATCACCAAGATGTGCACTACATGAAGGTGACAGCCATTAAATCTAACCACAAGAGCAACAGAGTCCGAAAGTCTCTTGAGAATAGCTTTATTTTCACCTTGGGAACCCAAAAGCCGAGGGGACTGTACTGTTAACACATTTTTACCTAAAACTTTTGAGTTACGGCCCTTGGCATTCCCAGGCTATTTATTCTTAGGGCTACATGTGTCTTTTCATTCAACTGGCAAGACATCAACGTGGCTGCTTCAGGATACATCAGTCATAATTTTGTTTATTCTTGTGGTTTTGTTTGATTTATGTTTGTGCTGATAAAGGCTTTATAGCTACAACGTTTAAGTTTTGTTTGTGTTTGTTATATTGTGAAGCTCCCTGATCTAGTTTTCGATCAGTTTTATATCTCTCCATGAACGATGGCGCCTGACTGCCTGCAAATAAACTGAAAAATGTCTTTCTAGCTGTCTGAATTTTAATTATCTGCACATATTTACCTAGCATTGTGCCAGCAGACATTCCAAATCATGACCCTCCCCTTTCCTCTGTCCTCTAATAGTTTTATTTCTGTCCTGCATACACAACTGTTTTAACAATCCTGATCTCCAATTCAAGTACAGAAACTGTTTGCTAGGAATATACCGAGTTTCAATTTTAACATAACTACTTTTCGGGATTCCTGAAAAATAATACAGATATAATGTAGTAAAGCAAAGATACTAACTCTGGATGCCTTGTGTCAGGAACATTACGATCACTTGCAGTTTTGTCACTTGCTATTTGATTAAATTTATTTTTCTCATATGCATCCATGCCAGACTGCAGCTGCTGCTTGCTAATATATTTTTGAGAATCAAACTCTTGCCAAGGAATGTCCCCAGCTTTATCATCATCTTGTAGGATATGGTCTTTTCTAGTTTCCGTTACAACCTAGGAATGGTGAAATATGCTGTATTATGAATTGTCTTTAACTGTTATTAACAGTGCATTCATCTCTAATTAAATGCTTAAATGTTACAGCAAATTAGACAAAAATCAGTCTCCTAGGTTAACCAATAAAAGAAATGAAAACTAATTCTGTAACCTTGGTCTCATTGTGCCTGTTGTGAATTTATCGGGGAGGAATCAAAGACACAGTGAATACATACACTGAAAGACAAATTGTGCAGAAGTTCTGGATATTCTTCTTTTTCTTCTACTTCATGTTCACCTGCTTTAAACTCTGGCAAAAAGTTCTGGTTGTTCGTCAACTTCTAGACTCTAGTCCTGTTCCAGAAACTGAATATTACGTGCATATCTGTTTCACAGGTCTGATTCACTTGCCTGCAGACTGTTGGTTCCTTGCCTTTCAAGCAGACGTACTTTGATTTTGAAGGAAGCTCCCATTTAGTAAACTCTTACAACATGCTTTCGGGCAGGCAGTGGGTCTATTCTTGTTTTCGCCACAACGGGACCCGGAACCCACACAGGGAGAAGATATTCATCACTGAGGGAGAAACACAGGTTTGAACTGGTAGTATTAGCAAGTCGACTCTTTGGTGGCTAGTGAAGAGGAGGATGGAGTAAGCGTGAGCATGCCCTAAATTCAGTGATGGAAATTCTTGATTCATTCATTCATGAAGGTAAAGAGACAATGTAAGGTGTAGAACTAAAACATTTTAAAATAACATTCGCTTTAGTTGGGACTGATTTAAGGTAAACATTTTTTTTTTAAACACATAAATTTGTAGAAGACAAGGTTTACCAAAAATTATGGTAAATTACTTACAAGACTTAGCATATGACCCATGTAAAATATCTCAGTTAAAAAATATCTTCTTCTTCGCGTTCACCAGCTGTAAACTCCTGCAGAAAGCTCTGGTTGTTTGTCCACTTCTGAACTGTAGTCCTGTTCCAGAACATGAGTGTTGCATGTGCATCTGTTTTACAGATCTGACTCATTTGTATGCAGACTGCTGGTTCTTTGCCTCTCAGGCAGATGCACTCCGACGTCGAAGAAGGCTCCCAATTAGTCGACCCTTACTACATGCTACTGAACAGGCAGTGGGTCAATTCTTGTTTTTCCTATAATAGGGCCTCAGAACCCACACAGGGAAGTTAGAATAGTCTTTGTTTGGTAATTTTTAGCATTAACATAATTCTAGGTCAAAAATTTAAAAAGTCACAGATGTTTTAAAAATATGATTTGATGTATGAAACAAGAGAAGGAGATGCAAAGCTTATGTGTAAAGCAAAGATGTAGGTCCATGTTTACTTTGACCACCCTTCGTTCACAGACAATTACCCACAAAATGCAATAAAGAAGCTTGTTGGCTATCCTCTGAATAAGGGGCAAATATTATGGCGGCCACAAAAACACCCTAACAGGGCCTAAAGTCACATGTCAATTGCGCACTTCCGTCGACTTAATTTGCGGACTTCCGGTGACTACCGCCACCGCCGAGAGTATCTCCCACGGCGTGGATTGGGGCTAAACTAGATGGCTGGGACTCACGAGCAGCAGCTTCTGCAGCTTTGCTCTTGAGTCTCAGCCATTTAGTTTAGCCTCAATCCGCGCTGCACATAGCGGCATGGGAGATACTCTCGCCGGTGGTAGTAGTCGGCGGAAGTCTGCAAATAAAGTCGCCGGAAGTCCGCAATTTACATGTGACGGAGGCCCTGTTTTTGGCCGCCATAATATGTGCCCGTTATTCGGAGGATGGCCAGCTTGTTAAAGAGACAAAATCAACTTCCCAGCTGGTCAGAAACAGAAAAAAAAAACATTAACGGTTTGGTAAGAAAGTACATGTACAACTATAATAATACAGCAGTTGTGCACATAGGCTATTTTCATGGCTTGACAACTGTAGTGCATATAGTGCTATCCCATATGATTACTATTTTTTTAAAATAAACCAACTGACACATGAGGGTTATTGGTCAATATATGCAAGCCATTCCCCAAAAATGTTGTGCACCCATTATTAGACTAAATCTTCCCACGTTGGAGGGGGGAGGGGGATGGTGGGGGTTGGGGAGAACAGATGAACTGCCTCCCTCATAAGCATGTAATGCAAGGCGACTAATATTGGGTGTTTTCTTCACAGTTGGAGTGCATCTGCCTGACAGGCAATAAACCAACAGTCTGCTTCAAGTAAGCCAGATTTGTAAACAAATGTGCATGCAAACTCAAGTTCTGGATGTAAGACCAAATTCCAGGAGTGGACTCACAACCAGAACTTTCTGCGGGAGTTTACAGCCGGTCAACACTAAGAAGAAGAAGTCTACATCAACCAGAGTGATTTCATTAATTGTTAAAATGCTAGGAAAAGTAAACTCCTATGCAGGCAACGAAACACACAATTTCATGTGGACCAAAGTTAGTAAAGACACTGTATTCATTACTGTCTACAGACTTATGTATAATATGGCAGCATTATAAAATATCCACTTAAAAGATAAAAATTACACAAATAATTTAAACATTCAAAAAATAAAGATCCTGTGTGAAAACACCATTCTGACAATTTCTACAAAGCTCACTTAACTACTTTTTGGTTTTGAGCATGTCAAGTGTGTATTTTTGCTTTCTTTCTACTTCAGTTTGGGGGTGGAGTGAGGGGCAGATTTGTAACAAATTTTACATATATTCAGTTTACATACACCACATGATACCAACGAGTACTAACCTGTTTTTGTTCAGCAGAAACAACAGAAAGTTTATGTTTTTTAATGCCCCTCCAATCTTTCTCTGGCTGGTGGATATATTGCTGTAGTGATTTCTGGTCATTATTATGTGGCAAAAACTCATTTCGGCTTAACAGTATGTTCCGATGACTGCTGCTGACACTCTGCAAGAGAAACAAACATACAAACTGAAGACATACTATCTTGAACAAACAGAAGCTGATGAACAATCAGAAGCTGAGGTGTGATGTGATATAACAGTCGCACATTATGAGTTATATGTTAATCAGAATGCTACTGGCACCATTAGTATCGGAACTCTTCGCTGGCTACTGAAGATGGGGATGGAGTGCTTATGGGAATGCCCCGAGTGCTGTGATGTCGGTTCTTGAATCAAATCAATGTTATGAGTTGTGTCCCTAAAATTCTAGGTGGTGCTAAAGGCAATAACTGTCTTTGTTCGTGATATTTTCTTCTAATAATGAAACAGTATTCTGCTCCAAGAACAGAAAAAACAATGCTTCTATTATTGCAGATTTAGTCTAGTAAAGTTATTCTTTTTTTATGTTTTTCTTTGCAGGTCATTGCTGTTCTTACTTAGAACAATACACATGCAAAATTGAGATTTTCCACATGTTGTGTTCTCACCCATATATAGTAAACATTTAAAGATATATACCAATACACACACAAAAACCAATGATTTTCTTGCCACAATCCATTGCGCGCCACGTCTACTGGCTAGTCACCTTTTAACACGTCAATGCTCCATATATCAATACTGTTAACAAGTTAATTAGATTAAACATCGAAAGCAGATTGCACTAGATAAAAAAGTATCACTGTAAAGGCTTTGTTGTATTGCAGATGAAATTTGCATTGCTAAATAAAGACTAGCGGACAACAGATGTGTATTACTAAGTAAGCTTACTATGATCACATGACTAGCTAAATCTCAATCCAGTTGTGACAAGTTATTTTACAACCACATTGCAGAACTGTTCAAGGCAATATGTGTTTCATGATAAAAGAGTTGGTCATATTATACAATAAAGATGTCTTCATCTGTCTTGCTTTCCGTAGATCTTTTTCATGGCCAAAAACATGTTTCAGTTTCCTTCTTCTCATAACATGACTACAAAATGATGACTGTCTCTGATGTTTGTGATAAGTTGTCTTCAAGCCCTTGCCGCTTTCAGAATATCATTACTCTTTTTTTGACTGTTCAAGGAATTCTGAGAATTCTTCTGTAAAACCACATTATCTCACAGACCAAGAAATTGTCTGCCTGTTTATTAAATGTCCAGGATTCACAGCCATTGTTAAAATTGGCTCTATATAGCATACAATAATTATTTTCTTAGGGTCCAATGACATAGATTTACTGCACAAAATATTTTTAATTTTTTAAAATTCAGTTTAAACTTGTTCTATTCTGTTCTTTATCTCTGTGTTATATCTTCCATCAGATGTTATCCAAGGTTCACAGACATTTTAATTTATCTTCTTCTTCTTCTTTTGTCAAAATCTGCTTGTGCCGCTAGGCGTCGCAGTCTATCAGATGATCGGCAACCGAGCCAGGGCGCGCTCAGTCGCTTCATATGCCGTGATGTTATGAAGTCTCAAGTTGTCCGTGACTCCTTCAATCCATTTTCTTCTTAGTCTTCCCCTGCCTCTTGGTATTTCGATTTTCATGTTGTATGCTCTTGATGCTGGCATCGTTGGTTCCATTCTCATTAGGTGTCCAAACCATTTCATTCTTTGCTTCTCAATAAATTTAACGATGGGTATGGTTCCAATAGTTCTTGTAATCACATCGTTTCTCACTCGATCTCTTCTGGTTTTATTTGCAGCCATTCTCAAACATCTCATTTCACAGGTGGTTAGTCTTCTCTCGTGTTCTTTTGTTAATGTCCAAGTCTGACATTGATAACCTAATGTCGGTTTAAAGATTGTATTTATAATTTGTCTTTTTATCTCAGCTGGGACAGAGGGTGTTTTAAAATTGGGGCAAGCTGGTATGCGACATTGTTGGCTTGTTGGATTCTTGCTTCGATCTCTCTGTCTATTTTACCATTGAATTTATCTACTTGTCCTAAAAAAAACGACTCTGACTTTTATTATACCTTTAGGCAACATTCTTTTCTTTGATATTATAGTTACTTCTGTGTTCCCATTATTCAAGCTGAGGCCCATTTTGTCACTTTCTACCACCATTTCATCTATCAATTCCTTTAGTTTTTTCTGACTAGACCTGATCAAGATGGTGTCATCAGCATTACACAAGTTGTTTATATTATGACCAGCAACCACAATTTCTGGCATATACATGATATATCAAATTTCAGAAGAAATATAAAATATAAAACAGTAAAATTGAATTATACTGTTTGGGTGAAATTAACATAAAATAGGAAAGGACAAATTGCTGGCTAAGAGGAAACAATCAAAGTTTACAATAGGCAAAGCAAAAGCATTAAGGCATACATAATCATATGTATACATGTGCAGTAAACATGATGTAGAATGAAGTCAGATGTTAGTAAATTAGTTAGCTGACAGATTATCATCATCGCACATCAAACCATCCATTCCATAAGTGCTCAGATCCCCTCTTCAGTATCTCCCTCAGCATGTAGCGGCTTATGACACCAGTTCTGTGTTGGTTTACTATTCTTTTTTTGGCCCCTGTGTAGCGCTCTTGTCTGGCTTCACCCCTTTTGATGTTATGTTCGTGTAGTCTCGTCAGTGTTGCAGATTCAAAATTATTAATTGATTCGTTTAATCGAGCTGTTTCTCTGAGAGTGTTCAGTATATCAGCCCTATCCACTGCTCGTCCGTTTCCCACATAAGCATCAAAGTCTGTCAGTTCATTCATTGCCCTTTACATCAGAATGCCCCGCAACAAATATGAAGCTGATTTTATCAACCTAGATCTATTAAGGGACTCCACCCATTGTCTTCGTAAGCAATCCTTCTTGATCTTGTTGAGTATATTCATTGAGTTGGTGCAAAAGCCTCCCCGGGTGAAATCTGTTTCTAGCCAGGCTGTTGCTTTAGTTGCCATGACCTCCACAGTCAAGCTGCTTGTCGTCAAGGCGAAGGCATCGCAGCCTTCTTTAACAGTTCTCCCTCCGACCTGTGCCGTAAATGTCCACGAGCATGGTCATGATAGACCCGTCTGTGTCACATCCCATCACCCTCAGAAGAATTCTTACATATCAAGGCCTGCACTTCTGCTTCCACAACTACTGGGTTTTGTTGTCTGCATTCTTTTTTCAGTTTGATGCATACTTCAAAGGATGTACTCTGGTGGTACACGTACCCATTCTTTCCTATGTCCTCGAGTGGACAAACCTCTTGTATAATAACCTCGGCTTGACCTATCCATGATTTTCCTCTCTTTAATCTGCTGCCTTTTTTCCATCGTAGTGCAGCCTCAATCTCGTTAACTGTCACTATGTCCTCATTATCAACTTCCTGGGTCTTACAAATATCTGAGATGGCTATTCTGGATGTGTTGTTTCCTAGCCGGTTTTTCTGGTCACTCATTCTAGATAGTGGGCGAACAGAGCCTTGCCCTTATTTTCATCTGAATTCTGCAAGGCAAGATCTGCAGTCTGGAAGTCAGGAATGCCTCGGTTCTTCAATGCCCCGTTTATACTCTTGTGGAGTCGCCAGAACAGTTTCAATTACTTGTCTCGGCTCACCTGTTTTCATAGTTCTGCCCCATTTTCCCTTTTTACTGTCTTCGCTACGGTTTTGAAATTGTCAGTCTTTTTGTCGATGTCTTGTTTTAAAAACAGGATGCAGTCGGACTGGGCATTCCCTCTTTCTCTAGCGTTCTGTCACTTCCTCACCGTGCATCGCTTAAGCCTTTTCTACCTCATCGTTCCACCAGGGAGGTTGTTCCCAGCTTTTCCTCTTGTTGCATTGATTCCTGCACTTTAAACGCCTTATTTTGACCATCACAATATTAAAATATCTTCACTTTTTGTCTGTGACTCCTAGATCTGCCTTTCTCCACCATTATGCTGCATGAATGGTGACCCAGGACACCCCACCTGCACAATGTAGTTAGTGGTGGGGAAACTAGTGCCATGTCAATAACGCTGTCCTCATCTCCTGGTCAGCTTGCAATTCTTGAGACCATGGCCACTGCTGATGCATACAAGGTCAATGGTTTCCAGAGCATCCTCAAGCTCCTCCCCTTGTGTGTTAGAAGACAAGTTTCCCCATGTTCACCCTTTCACGTTAAAATTACCAAAGAAAATGATGTTTTCCTCACAAAACTCTATAATCTCATTGAGGCACTGCCATTTCTGGAAGTTTGCCTTTGCGTTACAAGCATAAAAATTGACCAACACAAAAGGGATGGTTCGACAGAACTTTTATTCCCTCTATTTGTAGTGTGTCGCTGTCCTAACGAGACATGTTCATCTCTGTCGAAGCAATGTTGTCACGTACAAGGATGACTATTCTCAGGTGTCAGCTGTTATAAGATGTTATATACTTAAACTAAGCAGCTAAGCAACTCCATTTTGTGCTGCAGTAGTCAACAAATTTACAGTGAATGTCTGAACCAATCATGATGCAAATAACAGAATGGAGAGTGAGAAACAACAATAAAATTCATAATCTGTTTAAATCACCACTAATTACTGGTATCGTGAGTGCGATGGCAGGGACATATAGAGACAATGGCAGGGAACAGAGTTAAAAATTGCCTACATAAAAGAGTTGAATGGGAGTAGACCATAAGACAAACCAAGAAGATGGTAGAGAGATAATATACACGCATACCTACAAACATTTATAATCACCAACCGGAAAAAGGAATCACACAGATTAGTTAGTTAGTCGTTGCGGTTCCGGCATCACAGCAAATGAGCTTGGCCCATAATTGCTCAACTGCCTATGCCAGTGACTCCAGTCACAAACTGAGTCAGATACGCTGGTACTTCAAGTGAATGCCATAGCCATTCAAAGTGTCCTTAGTCAGCAAAACCTTCATGATCTGATCTGGCAAACCATAAGGTGCATGCCTTCTTAAACACACTGCGAGACCAGGCGTCATCGGTGAAAATCAACTTCATTCAACGAATAGCTGGGAGTTGAGTAGATTAAAACTATTCCTGACCATTCTCCCTGTGGGTTCTAGGTT